AGTGGTTTTGGCTGACAATGGTTAGACTGGATGTTAAAGTACATGCAAGTGCAGTACAGAGTCTTCGATCATGAATACTGAAACACAATGAAAAATTTGTACTAACTCCTCACTAATGTGCAAACCATTTAAATAATGAACTCAGAAAGGTACCACTATACTGGAAAGAGAAAGTACCCGATAGTTCTTCCAAGGAGCATGCCATGTAGGCCGTGGCCATCTACTGGGTATCCTTTCCATCAGTGCAGATGTAGAAAACCTGGGAGATATCTCAAGATATCAGCACTTCACAAAGTGAGTGGTAAACTCTATAAACTGCTCCATCCAAAAACAAATTATTCTGAATTGACCAGAAATCAAGGAGACTTGTTTGTGTTCTTGAGAGCTTACAAAGCATTTTTTTTATACAAAACTATTGGTGCACATGCACATAAAATAACAAAGTAATTTTATCATTGAGAAAATAAGGTTGCATGTATATTAAGAAAATACAGAAGATATGGCAAGCCATAATTTTAGAAAGACCAAGACCCAAACCATACAGCAAACTGCTAGTTTCTGATAGTAAGGAAGCACCGGTCTTTGTTAAGGAGCTTTATAATTTTTTGATTAGACCACGCCAAGGGCTATCAGGAAGTTGCACAATGATACACTACCAATACATAAGGTAACCAAAATATTTTCCAGTGCAAGTACACCAAATGTGCATAAGAATCAATGTATCATAGCCACAACACTTATCATAGCCGCAACCCAAAATATATTCATGTATCCTTTTTAATTCTTTGGTACTGACAGAACTCATGAAAGCACATAAAGTTACTAAATAATTGTTACTAAATAATTGACTTCATTTATGCAATAGAAAATTTACGCCGGCAGAAAATCACACTATACAAATAAATAAATATAGACGATCCATGCAAGCAAAAGGGGAAAAGGGACGCAGGGGAGTCATAAAAGGTGTCATGACTCACGAAATTAACCACACCATGAAAAACATTGTAGCATAGCATATAACTACAAACAAAACAAGTACCCATACAAGCAAAAAAAAAGGAACACTAAACAACAGCAAGAAGGTTGAAGCACTAGCACTAGATTTTACAGCCTTTATAGCGCCATAAAATAAACAAAGGCTGTTCTAATGCAATAGAACATCAAGAAACAATTGCTGATATCAAGCCATTAAGTACAATAGAGTCATCAATAGAATAAAATACAAGTACAAGGGAATAAACCTGTCAGATGATCCAGGAATTGACAGAGTTGTATTTTTGCCAGGTATGGTAGACTCACTGAACAAACATCATATGGAGAAAATAGTTAATGAAAAAACAGCATTAACTAATTAATAACAAGCAACATTATGTGGATGAACTTACGGTGCTTTTGGCAGCATAAGTGGCACAGGGACAATGGCATTACTAGTGCCTTCTCCGTGACCATCTTTTGTATCTTTTGTTCCTGACAAGATAATTGCAAGTTAGATAATGAAACGCAAAAAAGAAAAAAAATGTACACAGCTAATAAACTAATTTGTCTGAATTTTTTAGCTTAAATTATCAGCGTGGATGACAATCCATGAAGGCTTGCAAAATATTAAACCAATTTTATGGAGTCATATTGTGGAGATCAAGTCCAGAATGTTGGAAATACCAGATTTTGGTTAGGCACTTGGCTAGAAATATCAATCCTCTAACCATTTGCAGTTTGTTCCTGTCCTGATATAAAGTAGATGTAGGGCATTTGTCGACAGAATATCGTCGGCAGTCCTCCGAGGGGTATCCCACGAAGGTAGATTGATCGGTAGAGGTGCACGTAATCAAGAACAAGAAGGCAACAGAGACACAAGAGTTAGACAGGTTCGGGCCGTCTGCACGACGTAATACCCTACTCCTGTGGTCTGTTGGTTTGTATTGGCTATCGTATGATATTGCGTGTGATCAGATGCCTTAGGCTAAGCCTGGGATCCGTATGGGGATGTCCACTAGGGGACCCCTGCCCCTCCTTATATGCTCTGGAGGGGTAGGGTTACAAGGAAAGTATCATATTTGGTATTATACAATATCTAATAAATAACATCTTCTTGTAGCCTTGCGGTGCACGCCGACCAGTGCCGTGCGCCGCACGCCTTGATCTTGTGGGTTGGGCCACCTTTGATGGTGCGGCCCATGTCCCTTGCCGTGGGTACCTGGGGTTATACCCCCCACAACACTAAATCCTACAGGTCAGGCCTTTCTCTGGGGAAAATGAGCTGCATGACTAGGAATTATTGACAGGAGAACTTGATATCCAACTTTCTCCAAAGAAAGCTTGGGTGAAACAAAATCTAAAAAGGTACGATTCCAATAGTACTTTTTATGTTCCGATGTGCTCTTGAGGCATGGTTACTCATAGGATTAGATTAACCATGAAAACAAACTTTGAAGGTAAAGACCTACTTTTCGCAGACCATTCAGGACATCATCTATACTGGTGATTAGTTGTATCTAAAAATGGTGCAGAGAGTAAAAACCTCATGTTTCATGGAGCCTTTTGCGATTCCGAACTATCTTATTTTATTTTTTATTGCAAATATAATTTGGAAAATTGGAAACACTTACATAAGCAGAGCGGAACCAAAAAGTTCATTCCCAATGCATTTGCTATTTTAGATGATATAGATATGGCTCTTCAGGCAAATCACAAACTGAATAGCAATTGAGGTAAACTAATTTATAATCGCAATGATTTTCGTGTAAGACAAATTTTCTTCTGTAGCAGCGACTGCATTTGATGAAAGCAGGGAAATCAGCAGATGCTGTACTAGATCATAAGTGGTACCCAACCCCAAGCTGAGTTACTGAAGGTAACCAGCTGAGTAACTCAACAATAGTTTCTTGTTGAATTGAAGCTGGGGGGTGCAACCTACCTTTTGCTATTAGGGGGTCTGTTAGTTTTTGTTACTAGTAGGCAGTATAAAGCCATGTGCCTACGGTATTTAATTCAAGGGGAAAAGGAACTATAGATCTTCGCAATACAAGTCACGATTTCTGGAATTCTGTGAGTAACTTAAAATCAATCAATATTCAATTGCTCTAGCAATTGAAAAATAGGGTAAACTCATGAATTCCTAGTACTGCTGCTAGCTGACCATTCTAAACGATCTAGAAAGACTTCTCCTTCATTGAACAGAAAACGAAAAGATGGTTTCTGTGAGAATAGGGAAGAAGAAAAGAGCGAAGCTAACCTGGCAGTGCCAATGCCGTCGACGACGGCGGAGCAGGACCCTTGCCCTGTCCTCCGCGCCCTTGCTCCGGCGGCAGGTCCTTCACCGCGCCGTACTCCGCCCTCACCTTGCACCCGGTACGAATCCTCTTGCTGCGCCAACACCGCCGCAGCGAGATCAAGACAATACGCAGTCAGAATCCGCGCTAGGGTTTCTGTGCCTCCGAGGAGAGGAAAGGAAGGAGGCAAACAAGGTTACCTCTCGGCGTCGGGCGTGAAGAGGAGGGCGTGCGCGGGGGCGAAGAGGTCCAGGGAGCGCTTCAGCGACCGGAGGCTCAGCTTCTTCAGGGACTGCGGCTCCACCGGGGGCCCGTCCGCCGTCGTCGTTGCCATCGCCGCCGCCGCAGCTTATTTCGCACGGCGAGCGAAACAGCTTCCGTTTCGTTTTGTTTCTTTCGCAGCCGCAGCAAAGGCCGTCTCAGACTGGGCTGGTTTGAAATGGGCCTCGGCCCATTGAGCCCGCGGTGTGATGATACTACAGCTCGGCCCAACGGTTTCCTTCTGCAAACCCTGCTCCGACTCCGATCCGTCACGCCACCCTCGTCGCGCCGCCGCCGCCGCCGCCTGCTGCGTCCCCGGCCAGCTGCGCGGCCCCGCGGTCTCCTAGCCACAGGTCCGGCGCCTCCTCCTCCTCTTGTGCTGTATTTCTTATTAGATACGCTGGTTCTTGAGTTTATTATTCGCTTTCTTGAATCGAATCGAATGCATTGATTAATGAACTGACTGATTTGGTCCAAAGATGAGATGCCCCCTCTATGATTTCGGTCGTAATCTGTCACGCTTAGCGGAATGGTGATGTCTGCCATGAACAAGTCCTGGAACACGAGAATGAGAAGCCTACTGTTCTTATATACTCTGTACCCAGTACCTTGCAAAATACTCTGTTTCATGGCCTGATCTCCTTTTCATCTTGCTAAAACTGAAAAAAAAAGTAACATTCATGAAGCGAATACTCTTAAGGTTCAGCTCCCTCCATGTGTTGGATACCATTAAAAATCTGCTATTTTTGTAGCCTACATATCTGGCACCATTTTTAGGGTGGGTGATGATCAAGTGTGCATTTTATTTCTGTGGCTGGCACCGTTCTGCTGAGGCCAAGGCTGATTAAGTTTTAGATCATGTTGTGATTTATTTTCCTACATGGCAGATTCATCAGATAAGCTTCTCTGTGCTTCCTAAATTGATTACTAGGTCACTGCCCTGGCAATATGTCCAAACAATTGCATAACAGAAAATGATGTTGCATATAACAGATAAAAGATACTCTTTTCTGTCATAGATGGTTTTATCTATCTGGTTGAAGTGGAATGACAACTATTACCGTGCAGGGATAGTCAGCTAGCTATTTTAAGCAGGAGAGTCTCCTAGTTCTACTCCGGATCAAATATCCAACTGTGCCTTAGTTAGATGCTATAATTGTTTCTTTTTCGTTCTTTAAAGCTTGTAACTTTCTGATGCATTTTCACCCTGTCAACAAGGTTGGAAAACAAATAACTCCACACCTTTTTTCTGTTGGTCCTACTACAGACTGTCATACTGTTTGCATCCTTGTTTTTAGAACCCATGATGATGCGTTACCAATTTACTGCTTCAAGGCTGGTTTGTACACTGTTGTCCTTCTCTATTCTGTATTTGTTCCCACAGGGTTATTATAGAAATGCAGTCATGTTGTGTACTAGCCACTAAGCCTTTGTTGCTCCTGTTCACTTGCAGCAGAGAGACCAGAAGTCATGGTGATCCCTCCACCAGAAAGGGCAGCTAGAGTCACCCGTTTCCTCAAGCCCTACCTGTTGAGGATGCATTTCACAAACAAGTATGTATCTGCTCAGGTCATCCACACCCCAACATCAACTGTTGCATGTTCGGCAAGCTCACAGGAGAAGCTGCTGAGACCAAACATGGAGTCAACCCGTGACGTCGCAGCAGCTACGAAGATCGGAAAGTTGCTTGGTGAACGCCTACTGCTCAAGGGAATACCTGCAGTGTCCATCCACATGAAGAGAGAACAGAAATACCATGGGAAAGTGAAGGCCGTTATAGATTCAGTCAGAGAAGCTGGAGTCAAATTGTTGTGATTGTGATGTTGAAATATTGAACTTAGCATTTGTGCAATACCTGAGCTGTTGTAATTCTGAAGTGTTGATCAATGGAAAAATGGCTCTGGAACGTTGTTGTTTCGAAATTCAGAGCCAAATGGGACATGTTCTAGGTCAATAAAAGGATTTTGTTTGGACTGGGTGCCTTGTTTTTCTTTTTTCTTTTTTGTGGAATGGACCAGGAATGTTATCTATCTGAATATATCACTATTATCATTTATCAGGCAGTTATGGAAGATAATTGCAGGAGTCTATGGACCCCTGTTGATGCTATGTTTTGGAGATGCCATATCTGGTTATATGCAATTCTTACTTTATTTCATAATGATGGTCATGTTGAGCTAATGGACCAATGGTCATGCTGAAGTCACAAATCTTGTTTTCTGTATCGTTGGGTACTTATGTGTTAACTGGTGTGATTACCATAGTATGGTGGTAGAATTGGGACTTGATCGTTGCAGTTATGTACATATGAGACTGAAATTGACCATAAGCCACTGAATCACTGCTGACCAGTGCAAAGAACCACCGGGTCAAAATTCTAGCATGCTGCATGAAGCCCTCAATTTGCTTTGGGTAACCTGAACCTTTGGGTAGATAGAATTCCATCTTACCAGAGCATGGTAGAAGAAAAAGAAGGGGAAAACAGAAGGTCTCCTCTGGACTATATATCCAAAGTTACAATGTTTCTCCAGAGCACTCTGATATTAAACTCGGGATTGATGGATATACATTAGGAAATTATTACCTAAGAAACAGATATGCAAACAAAAAAAACTTTGCACAGTCCATGCATTTAAATCAATCAAAACCATCTTTTACTACATACAGAGTTGATCACAAACTAGACAAACGTTTCCTTGAGTAAGTCTCTGAGCAATCCAAGCCAAACATACATCAGGGACATGCATGCACATCCCCCCTTATTTCAAATTCAAGCACACACGCACACTCACAACCACAAACCAATTAAGTCTTAAACACAACCAATTCGGTGGATGCATACAGCGTCGAACCACCTGTTTATCCTTGACAGAAATAAACATTCTTGCAAACACACATTACACCAACTAGTGAAGCAACCATTCCTTGATGATCCATATTGCAGCAGCAACAGCTTGCAGTGGAATTGAAAGCGGCAACACATGACGCATGACAGGCTTGGCACCGCCTAAACCTAAGAAAAAAATAATTACATCAATATAAGGTATAAATGCATGACAAAATACGTACGTGAAGTGAAGAGAAAAAAAGACAGCACGCGTATGTAGAGCACATACAACAGTATACATACATACCTGGATAAATGATATATGTGTCTTTACCGAAGAACCGTGCCCCTGAGGAGGCGCTTCTTGTAGTAGGCCGACGAATAGCGCGGCTCGTAGAGTGATGGATCGTGGCCGGCCTGCAGTCCATCCCACTCCAGCTTCGTCCACCAGTCCTCCTGGCAGTGCACGACTGGCCGACGGTGTCTGTTGTTTCGATGGCCGATACTTGGGGGGCGCCTGAGGGCCCAGCAGCCTCTGATCCTGACGCTCTCGAGCATGGGTGCGGTCATCTTGGCCTCGCAGATCTCCTGCAGGCTGAAGAGATCGTGCAGGAGGACATGCTTCAGCTTGGGGAATTTCTTATATGACATTGGTGCAAGGCTGCTGCGCCAAATCCTTCCCTTTCTTATATGATCCTCTCTAATATTTGTAGCCACTTGCTCTTGTATTTCTTCAGGGAAAGGCAGTTCCCAATCTGTTTGGCACACATCTAGTACCCACAGTCTCTGAAAAATTTCCATCGCCACTGCACCTTTCTTCTCCTCCTCTGCCAGATTTTCTTGATCCATGCAACTATCAAGTCCAAGGAATCTTAAGTTGTAACAACCATGGAACGGAGGTGATGAAAAGCTGAAGGTACAGCCACATAACTTGAGTACACGGAGTTGGTCTGCTTGTTGGAACATGTCATTAGGTAATGATGATGCCGATGGTTGATCGGATTCTCTTTTGAGTGCTAGGAAAAGGGACGTGGTCTCTGCGTGTGCCTTCTCTTGCATGTAAGAGTTGGTGTCCAACAGAATCCAACGTCTTCGGGGATGAAAGAATCGATCACCAAACACGGGCAGGCTATTTGATGAGTAGTCCTCTAGCCGTGTCTCCTGATGGAGAGCACGAGCAACATCCCAAGCTGCTTGGCTGTCCTTGCCTCCTACAATCCCCATCACAAGGCCATGTTTATGTGCGTACAAAGTGATTTCTCTAGCCTCTGCCTCTATTAATTCGTGGTAGCTGGTAGCAGAACCTGAAGCATCAACAAAAAGATGTGAACTGTCCACCTTTTTCTGAATTTCTCTGTTCAGACGAAACCTGAGCTTCCCCTAAAGGTCCATAGTACTGTACAGGGAAACCAGTCAAATTGGAAAACACCGAAATCTGCCATGCCAACCATGCTGTCACTTCCATTGTGAAAAATCACCATATAACAAAGGTCCCTCAGGTTTTGATAGATCTCTCTTGTGACGTCTCGTATCTCCACTCTAGAGGCTTTGCTCTACCCCGCTGAAATCATCCTCCTCATCTTGCCTGTCAAGATGAGCCACTACATGTCGAGGAAGCTTAAGTTCATCTACAATCGCCCTCTGGAGTGCTCTTCGGCTCTTCCATCTTGAGCAGTCAATGTGGATAATCTTGTCAAATTTCTTCTTCAGAGATGGTGGAGGCCTCTCTGCTATTGCTCTCGGCACCGCAGAAGCACCCAGTCCGTTCCATCCGTCGAAGTAGACGGTCTTGTGTGCAGTGCCCTCCAAGTAAGGAATTATTGCACCTACTGCCTCCTGGACGTTATACTCATAAATATACTGCATTAAATTATTTGATGCTAATTAGTTTTAGTCGAGGTTTCTCTCAGTCCATAAAACACAACTGTTATAGTAGTAGAATATAGTATGTCAGAGTTCACCAGCAATGATCACCAGAGAACCACGCAAACAACACACACGAACACAGTGGAAACATCTGACTTCAGTGCTGCCTAACAGACGCAGCATTTTCTAGTTATCTATTATTAGTACTTCTTTTTTATTTAAGTGCTGCCTAACAGCCCGCGTCCATCCCCACGACGAACGACGGGTGAGCTCGCGCATGTACAGATTTGCTAATGACGACTAGTTTGTGCAAGTACAACAGTACAATGAGATTTGACACAGTGAAAACTAGCTTGACACGCTAACGACTAGTATGGATTGACGACTTATTAAACATTCCTAAAACTTCTTACAAAAATTAGAGACATCCGGTCATCAATCTAATAGCCATCAGATCTATTCTACTTTCTTAAAAAAAACTATCCATCACTGCTATTGTGGACTCCCTCTGTTCCAAATTATAATTCGTTTGACTTTTTTGACCCCAAATTTGACCGCTCGTCTTATTAAAAAAAGATTGTGCAAACATAGTCGAATTTAAGTCATTCTTGAAGAACTTTTGTTAATAAAGCAAGCCACAACAAATGAAGTGATATCTAGCACAAATTTTTGAATAAGACGAGTGGTCAAACTTGAGTCAAAAAAGTCAAACGAACTATAATTTGGAACGGATTTAGTAGCAAATACTCCTAGTCCTAGATCCCATCTAATTACCCACCTTTATCATTATGAAATATAATCTAAATTTACCCTCTAAATTTGTATTTAAACTACCCCACATTGTCATTATAATAGATACTACATAGCTCTGTATTTAAAAATAAATACCCATCTCCGTCATTATTAGAAATAATCCAAATGTTCGATCAACTCTATATCTAAATTATCGATATATGCTTTCTTAGAACAATCGAATAACCAAAAAGTACTAACATTATGCAAGAATGATAAATATATATATTTCTATATATAACCCTAAACCCTAATTAATGGATCACACACCGATGACACTAATAGTTTATTTTCGAGCTATATTAATAATCCATGACACTGAATTATGTAAGTTGTTACTTTTTTTTCTCGAAGGTGCAGGAGAGCTACGCACCTTTTGTATTATAGGGAGAAAAAAAGGATCGGCCCCTTACATGAACACCACCACCTCACTCCGGGCCGAGCCATGAGGGGTTGAATAAAACAAAAAGTTTGCACTTGATAACAAAAAACATAAGGATATAAGTTGTTACTTTGATAAGTATATAAATTTTAACATCATAAAATGTTCACATTATAGTTTAACTAAAATACTGTTAAACATATAAATTTTAAAATTAAAAAATGTTCACATTAGAATAGTTTAATTATAATACTGTATTTTTTAATAAAAAATCTACTAGAAATGATAGTTAATAATAAATACGATAACTCAACGAGCATTAGGGGGTCAACTTAACATGTGAATAAAACACTTAATAAAGTCAAGAGTTGAAATCCAAAATCTCTCTATATATTCATATACATGATGACACATGGCTGCGACAAGAGCTAGCATAATTTAATCTAAGGTTTAACTAAACACACTTATTGAAGGCACAATTTTTGGTTTGCATAGAGTTTTCTGTTCTTGAAAGTGCCTTCTGATTTTTGGAAGCAAACAATATAATATACTATCTGTCCATAATAATTGACTGTTTAATAAGAGGACAATTTTTCGTTTAGGATTTACATTAATAATTTCAACCAAGTCCCTACCATATATACGATCTCCTACTTCATCTATCTATGCCCTATTCGCTTGGCTGATAAGCCATGGCTGAAAGTACCATTGGCTGATTTATTGTGAGAGAAAAATACCGTTCATTGGCTGAAAAAGTACGGTTTATAAGCCAAGCGAACAGGGTGTATGGATGGCCTTGTCGTTGGACAATTTTTCCTCATATAGTACTGTATTTAATATGAGAACGAGCCTTTTTTTTAATTACACAAGTACGGACGCAGACGCTCTAACACGCACGCACACTCACTCCTATGAATACACGTACGCAAACTCTACCCATATGAGCATCTCCTAAAGATTGTGCCGGCACATCTCGAGATTGACGAAGTAACCACAGGGGCCTCGCTATCGACGGGAACGTCGCCTACCACTAAAAGCACAACGCCGTTAAATCCTATATTAAATTCAGAAAAATGCGGGCACCTGTGCCAAGTCGAGAATTAGAACCCGGGTGGATATGTTTCATCACGAGGAACCTAACCAGCTGAGCTATGCTCAGTTCGCATGAGAATGAGCCACAATCCAGAGTTCCTAATTTGTTTTGAGTATGCATATATATACATGAAACCAATGGCCCTTGGCCATACTTTCAGCAGCTACAAAACGTTGCTGACCACACAAGTGACCATGTCGATCTATGTTTCGGAAGTACTGTATGTATCTGTATTATGAGAAGGGAAAAGAGGTACCTCTCGAGGCATGATGAGTCTCTGTGAATAGGAAGGACCAGCAAATACGAGTTCTCTGTTACATCCGAAGAACCTCCACATATCTGTTACATCTCGATCTGCACCTCACACCAAATACGAGTTCTCTGGCCCACACATGTTAATCCATATAGCATAGCTACCTATTATTGAGAAAAATTAAACCAGTGGTGCAACTAATAACTGCTATTAGGCACGTATAGTTCAGAAGTGTTACCTCTGGCAGGCAGCTAGCTCCAGGATATTCAGAAATTAACTGGTATGTGTTGAGGGGATCCAAGTGGTGGAAACAGGTATGTGGCCTATGTGTTTTCTAGCAACCTCTCTTCAATCCATAGCAAGTGAAGTGAGCTTCAGGTAAGAGCTTTGGACATAGCTAGCTTTCAGAAAAAGAATAGCTCTTTGCTTGGAGCTGGAGAAAAGAATAAAGATGGATGCAGCTGTCGTCCAGCGCTAAGTAAAGTAGCTCAGCAAATCGTCATATGGACCCAAAGAGAAATCAATCTATGTGGTGATTATAATAAGATGAATGCAGAAATTATCCAAACAAATTCACCATAACAACAATGGGAAGAAATCTCACCTTCTAAAACGGCTGGTTTTGTGGCATGCCCATGTTTGGCGATGCGTATAAGGAACTCCTCCTAAATTGTCCAATATGGAGTCAAATTTGCTCTGTTTCACTTCCATAACTATATTATATTAACCTGATTGTCCTTGCAAAAACTGTGATGTAAGTTCTCGAATGTAGTATGTGGATGAGATCTCAATTAAGTTCTGATCCATGCCTCCCTAGCCTAATGCTAGCAGCATGGTCCAACTGAAGAAGGTGCAGATTGGGGTTGCGTAGGCACATTGAAGAAGACGAATCACATTCGCAGAATGTAACCGAGTAGCAATAATCCACCTGTGTCCATACTGCCCATGTCAGTATGTTTAGGCAAGTTTTTGTTCTTGAGGGGAAACAGTTGGGGAAAAATATAATAATATAAGAAAAGCAAAAGGCAAACATGTTTCTCTTATAAGAAAATAAGAGGAGGAGAGCTAAAGGTGGCCCAAAAGGCCCAGCTGGTCACTCAACAAGGAGAGAGGAAAGTGATGAAAGCAAAGTTTATGCAAGATGGCCTATTAGTTCAGTTGCTGATGTTGGAATACGATCATTGACTGACAAAGCAGTTTAGTCCAAAATTTAAGACAACCCTAACAACACTGAAGCAGTTTCAAGTCCAGTTTATGATTGTGCAAAATAGCAGATTATACTGAAATATAGAGTACTCAAGTTGCTACACTGGAGCAGTGGTGACCATTTCTTCCTCCAATTCGACCTAAATTCGAGGTAAGACTCAGCATGCATATAGGGAAGAAAATTACGTTGGACCCTAGGTCATTCCACAGCCTATGGACCCTAGATGTCACATCAGGTATTTTGATACTAATTAGAAAGACTAAACATGAGCCTAATTAGGCTTAATAGATTCGTCTCGTAAATTAGTCTCAGTCTGTACAATTAGTTTTTATAATTAATCTACGTTTAATACTCTAAATTAATGTCCAAACATCTAATGTGACATGAACTAAATTTTAGTAGAGGAACCAAACACCAATTTTCTTCTGCATATAGGGGAAGCAAAAAGATGCTGCATGTTTGTTTGCGTGCATCTGGTCAAAGCCACTGGATTTCAGCGAGGATATATGCACGGTGCACGTAGCTAGCTAGCTATAATTTGAGTCAGTGAGTGGATTTTGTTGCTGCTATGCTGGGATAACGAAACGGTAGTAACTAACCACCTATTATTAGTTCAGTGGTAATCCACCAAAGATCAATTTGCAAATTTTTTGTTCCTTTGCATCTATCTTTTATCTTGTATATGCTGATGAGTGATGACGTATATATTGATATACATGTGTTTGATTTATTCTTTTGCAGAGTGTGGCTCTACATCTCCTGTGATGCAATAACCCATGACATGGGCGTTTTAGATTGTTGGGTAGTAAAAAAAATGCTCGACCAAGAAATCAAAATGGAAATATACATCACAAATATGCTCTCCAGTCTAGACGTATTTATTTATGGAGTAATATATACATGTTAGACTAGTACAATTTCATGCTATGCACAATCTAAAAAGAACAATATCTAAAATAACATGCAAACAAATAAGATCTGAACGGAAAAAATCTAGCGAACGCTGAAATTATAGAACTCGGGTTTTTTTTTCGAATTTTTGCCCGATCCAACTTCCTCCCGCAAGAGTCCTCTTATTTCCATCCGACATTTTCCTATGTCGCAGCCCTATTCCTCCAGTCGCGCCGTCCCTTCATCTCCATGTCCATCTCTATATCGATTTGCCTTTTTTATTAGTCTAATGATTTACCTTAGACATCTTGCTTAAATTCACATCTTATATTTTTCCTATCAATTTCAATAATGGTTACTTGTTAATTTGAGGTAACTAAATTGGCATGGCTTCTAGAGATGATATTTGGTCATGCATAATGTTTGATAAAACTAATTTAAATTTCAATTTGTCGCTTTTTTAAAGCGTGAATTTGAATCTGGTTCATTTATATGGTTTACGAGATATTTAAGTTTGAATTATATCGTGTGCTAGGGAAAGATATATACATGTAGGGGTCTACCAAAGTGCAAAAATCTCCCGCCTCATGCGAGGTCAGGGAAGGGTGTCGATGGCAAGCCTTACCTACGCACTGCAATGCGGGAGACTATTGACTGAACCCGAGACCTTCCGGTCCTGAGCAGAAGAAGACTCTACCGCTTGCACCAAGCCCGCTGTTCAAAGATATATACATGTAGGTTATATCAAAATACGAAAGAGAAATGAAATAGGGGCTTAAATGTTGAGGCTCTTGTTGGAGTTATGTGCTCAAATAGATCCCCGGAAAGTAGAGAAAGCCCCTACTCAAAAAGTAGGGACACTATTTTAGGGACGCAGATGCTCTAATGTATCAACAGTTTTCAATACATACGGTAATTAACATTCAAGCCCTAAAGGGATGGGCAATTTGCTATATGTTGACGCTCCACCAATCACTACAAATAACCACACAAGCTTAACAAGGGATTAGCTAAAGACGCCCCACCAAACAGTACAAATGACCAGCACCGGCACCTCCACTATATAGGAGGATTAATCGACCAAGGTGACAACAAGAATATTTGACTAACTGAATACTTGTAGCACGACATTAAATGACGTACCCAGTGCAGAGAGCTCTCGCTCTGTGCGAGGTTTGTGAAAGGATGTCAGTGGCAAGCCTTACCCTCGCCTGTGCAATGCGAGAAGACCAGACTCAAACTTGGAACCTTCCGGTCACAGGCGGTAAGACTCTACCGCTTGCACCAGGCCCACCCTTCACTTGTAGCACGACATTATATGAAAAATTACAAAGATCAGATTGCTAGCCTACCACTCTCGACATGATGGAAAAGAAGGCTTCACATAAGTTTCTCAATGACAAGCATAGTCTACAATGAACAACAGCACCACTTTAAGAACACTAACATCCACATATATATGCTCACTGCTCCATCCCACTTCGGAGAACTACACCAACAGGAGCGTGGAGCATTCAACCCACAAGTATACTTATTCCATAAGGATCTGGTTAATGATTCACAAAGGGAAAATCACACGGAGCACAGTTATCATCCGTTTTTACAACTTTACAATCTTAATTGATTTAGAATTGATTCTATGATCCTATTTAATAGAATATACAATTTTACGATCTTAGTTAATAGCTATAATCTTACGATTTGCAATCTTACTATTGAAGTTCCGTCTCAGGACAACAATTTTAACCTTAGCCCAATTCATTTGACCTTGTCTAAAGACCCAGGGTCAAATCGCAGCTATGCAGTGGCCTAAAGTACAAGCACAATATTATTACTTATACATATGTGACTATGTAGTGCAGCTACATATCACGTATAGAAAAAGTAAAATATTGGAAAAACATTCTCTCGTCATTCTTAAGATACGCCAGGACTTCGAAATGCATAGTTCCAAGAAAATCACAAAACAAGTTCAGTTTCAAGCTCTGATAGAACAACTATTAGAACCAAAATTTCATCGCATCATTCCCTCCACCGATTACCACAATCAGGGCTGCAGCACACAAAGAACAGGTTCATCCCCTCCTCCCCTCTTGCCATGGCCTGCAAATGATAAAAACAGCACTGGGCTTAAGATTGTCTCAAAACATTTAAGCAGGATCAGTGCCATCAATTGCAACTATTGAAATATAAATATCGCTTAACTGCAGACGTGGTAATTTTGAAGAATACAGAAACAGACATGAGTGATATGCTCTACGCCTCTAATGGCATTTAGTAGTATTATATTACTGCACCAAAGTGGACCACATTTTCTTGGGATCTGACTCCTGACATGTCAAATAGGACATGTTCATGTCAGGGATATAGATGCAGGCCTCAACATATAGGATAGATACTGCCAAAAAAAAAGGGATGCAATATCCAACGTTAACATTAACAAGGTGCAGAATTTTGGCATACTATTCTGTTTAACAAGTCATTCAGATAGCATAACAGGATCACATGAAAATGCAACCCATTAAAATGCGACAAGGCAAAACAAGAAAAAAACCTGGAAGAAAACAGCCTCTCCATGCCCACAGACATTGCAGCGGACAGTCTTGGTTCTGGGAAGAGTTGGGTCAGAAGCAACATCCTGCAAGACCTGCGTTCGCTCCCCAGCCGTGTGGTGCACCTCGTTCCGATAGACACAGTTATTGTCAGAGACCTCCTGAATCAGACCAGCAATAGTACTGTTAACTTGTAAGCAGAAGAAAAGATGTTTGAGGGATGGAAAATTATTCAATTCACCATTCATTAAACACAGATATGACTAACACTGTAGGACAAGTGTAGTATTTTTCAGTGTGTAAAGAAGCGTGTTTAACTTTTGCTTTGCATACATGCAATAAATGAGGGAATTAAGTAGCCAAAGCTGGAAATGAAGGGCACACATAGCATTGGCATGACCCTACCAAAATCTTAGAATATGGGAAAAAAGAGAACAACCCCATCCCATAAGCATTTTAGTGCTCATTCGAACCCCATCATCCAAGTGTTGTGCCCAAACTCCATTCTTGTAGTGATGCACTGATGAGATGGGTAATATCACGAAGACTGGATTGGATTTGTTGGTGGAACAAGGATAGATGTTGATGAGTTGTACCTGGTGCTCGCAGTTGCGACATGCGAAGAATAAGGTGCGCCTGTCCCTGTCCTCCTTGGGGTACAGGATGTTGTTGCTACACATCCATCCATCATCAACTAACTGTATGATCAATCTAATGCAAGAGAGAGGAAGATGAATGATGTAGAAGTGTGCATACCACTCGCGGCAAAACTTCATGGTGCTCATGGTTGCAGCACTAGTGTCTTCTTCAAACCCTAAATAGAAACCAGAGAGATTTCAGATTGTCCAATGGTAGAAACGGAACAGCTAAATTTATCTTGTATCTCTGTAGTGAATTACCATCTGATTATTCTTGATACAGTGAATTACAAATCGCATTGCAATTTTAAAGTGCAATTGGGAGATCTGAGGATAAGTTAGAAAAATATAAGCTCCCTACAACCGAGAAATGAAATGGTAAATTTGTGAATTTTCCTTAGATGCGGTATCTGACAGACACAGAGACATTTATTAACCTGATGGCATCAACAGGGGTAAAGTTTTCTCCTACGACATGCTAAAGTTCTGATTAGTACATTTATGCTCAACGACTAATGTCTCAATAACCCAGCAGCAACTGATTGCAGACTTCAGGTTGCTGGTTACCTAGCACCCATCAGTACCCAAGCAGATACAATGTTGCACATCTACTATTTTTTATAGGGAAAAAAGGATTGACCTGACCATCTTGCACCAACATTACAATCAGCTAGAGAAAAGAAAAAAAAAACTTAAGGCTTCATTTGGCATGTGGGGGTTACATTCTAGAGGAGAAATAAATGACCCAAGGGAGGATTGGGTTGATCCCTCCCTCCCAGTCCCAATCCCCTTTCACCATGGGGGTTTAAACCACTGCTGAAGTTAATTATTTGGGATGGCTTGGATTGACATGGAAAGGTTCCATGGCAAGAAACACTACAGTGTTGCTGTCTATGTTTTATTACTGTATTTATTTTCTTCTCAACGAACAAATAGCTTAGAGCTGTGTTAATAATTCAAATAGTTTATACGACAAAATGAACATATGTCAGGGGTTTATTTTGAACGGCGTAAGTGCATACGCATCATGTTCATACGATTACAACTTGCCAAAAGAATTAATTAGAAAAATGCAATGCTCAACACTTCTGATATTGATATGAATGTAACTACTTGTTTTCTACTGGAATTGCAATCTGATTTCGCCGAACCTGGATAAAAAATAAAGACAAGATTGCCTTCACACCTATTATCTGATGGTAATTTAGAAACGCAAATAAGCTAAAAAAATAATAAAGCGCAGGGATAGCTAAGTTTATCTAATAGGCCAATTCAAACTACTCTTCTAAGAGCTACCAACTCTGATTGAATTCAATAGAATACAGATTGCATTAGCAGAGAGCCAGAGACTGATAGGTTCATTGAAAAAACAGAAAACAGAGAAGGAAACAAAAAGTTGGGCAAACTCACATATACTATCATTAAAGTATAATATATATAAGCTAGTTCATGCTACACAATGCTCAACAAATCCAAGTGGTAAGTCAATGACTAGTCTCAAGAAAGTAAGCTTTAAATGGTACAATAAGAATGTCACTGAGCATAAAAAATCTAGGTGGTAAATTTCTGAAGCTGCTCAGATGTTTTTTTCCTGAGATCTCTACTCAATGACAGCCACAACAATGACCATCCATACCCAGTTCCCATCTATCATTAAGAACTTAAAACTGAAATATACATCAGGCATAAAAAAGGAGATCAGGCTCTGCATCATTAAGCTCGCATTCAGAAATGGGATATCATAGATGTACTGAAACTGACCAAACAAATGGATACACATGTTGGACAGATAGGAGAAGGAAACAGAACAAAGCTAAACCTCCTATTGTCATCCCTTACTGCCAAGTGAAAACTGAACCATTATATGGTGATCCTATGCACTGAAATAAAAAGGACAGGATGTACACAATTGAAATAATTTCTCCTACCAATACCATACAGTCCGTCTTGAGCAACTCTTGCCAGGGCATGGCGATAGTTGCATGTAACTGCTACTATTGTGCTTCAAATTTATTGAAATTGGATATAAACTCAGATCTCCTAGCAATTAGTCAGGCTTGATCACTGAAACATGATCACAAGAAATGAAACCATCCACTATCTATATTGCCTTGCAGCTGGTTACAGCAGCAAACAGTAAAGCAACAACAAAAAAAAACTGTGTCATTTTAGGAAGGAAAATAAAATTTAGTACAATAGTTCCTGCAGACTGCCATTAAAGAGTAACAAGAATAAGTGCCCAGCTTTATGTGAGGAACACAAAGATTGTGGCACAAGAAGCATGACATGTGTACAGGATACTCCCAAGGGTGAAATAAGATAAATGGTACATTCACAAAAACATCATAGTAGACAACATTTGGATTACTGCAGGTGGAAAATGACACATTCACCATTCACAGAACTAATAATTACCACACAGTGTTTTCCTTTGTCAAAGGTGCAAATCATCAATGTTGGGTGGTTTGTTAAGACTAATATCCAAGGAACAAATAACAATAAAGTACATAATACCAGAGGAAGGATTAAGCAAGTATATGAATAAAAAGAGAGCACTTGGATACGCAGAGATATTTAGTGCTAGCAATTGAGTTTTCCGCACCTTGGAGGCATGAGATTCCGATGTGAGTTTTGTTCACATTGGGGCACAGCCCATCCAAGAACATACCAAGAACTCGCACAAAACCATCTCTGATGGTTAGTTCAGTAGGCTAGCAGTCGGTGGAGGCGAAGGGGACGAGGGTGGAGGGATACAATGCAACAGGTGAAGCCTCCAACGGAATCGCCCCTAGTCAAGCACCTGTGCTTGTAGAAAACTCAAAACCCTAGCAAGAAGGGGATGGGTCCGGAGGACAGGGGGAGATGGGGAGGCAATGACGAGACACGCCTTGGATTTGCAGGGAAAACGGGATGAGGAAAAGCCAGGGGAAGGAGGAGGGGAGAAGGAGGATGGGCAGCGTACCTTGATTGGCGCAAGCGGTGGCGGCGCTCGTCTTCGGCGGCAGCGGTGGCGGCGGAATCGGAGTCGGGGGTCACCTACGGCAGCGGCGCGGCGCTCGTGGAGTCGGGGCGAGGCGGAGGCGGAAAAAAGGACGGCCACCGCTTACGGGAACTGGGAACAACGGAAGTCGGTCTCGGTGACAGGTGTCAACGTGTCAGGTGCGGCTTTTGTTGGCCCGACCTCCCGAGGGGGACACCGGAGAGCGGAGACGAGTGGCCAGGGGTCGTCTCTTTTCCTCCTCTTTGGCAAGCGTGTGTATAGTAGCATCTCTATTAGATTAAGAAAAACAATCCTATTTTTTCTTAAACATGACATATTTATATATTAACGTTAGAGAGTCAAAAATTTTGCCTTTAAATTTTTGTTAAGTCCAATCATTTATAAGGTGTTTGGTTTAAGTAATCAAACTATTTTAGATGAGGTGGTGCATCATTTGTTATTCATCAGATTTGGTAGAATGACTTTATTCCTCGCACCAGTATTAATTATTAGCTAGTAAAAAAATAAGGTGATGACACATCTACCTATTCTATTTCACAGAACAAAACAAAAGAAAAAAAAGAAAAGAGAAGATGATGGACTAACCGATTCCTCAAATCAAACATCATATTCCGTGTCCCTTGTCTTTTTCGTTTCGGTTTCCGTTTCTTATCTCGCTCGAGATGTTCCCCTAGTACATTCCGTACCTCTCCCTCTCCTGGTGTTTCATACTTTCCATGACTTCTTCTTTTCTTGATTAAAATTTATTGGCAATCCTTGAACTTGTATCGGGTCCTCATCCAGGTCTCGGTACTTATAAATTGTACGTTCGACTCTTTAAACTTGTACCGAGTTCTCATCCCGGTTCTGGTACTTATAAATTGTACCCATTGCTCCCTAAACTAACGCATTTAGGTCCCTAAACTTGTCCCAAGCTCTCATCCTGGTCAAGGTACTTGCAAAATGTACACTCAGCTAGGTAAACTTAAATTATTGTGTCATCCCGATCTAACTCCTCCCCTCCCACCCCCACACTGTCGTAGGACCTGCGGGGGCTCTAGAAAGCGAGATGTGTAGAGCTAGCTTTCTAGATCCTACCATGCCGCTTGCTTGCCTATGTCGTGCTTGCCCTATCTCACCTCCCTCCCTTGAACCTTCACCACGTGGGCCTCCTCAGTTCCGCTTGACTTTGCTCCTACACCACCTCATCATGCCTTTGGCCCCTGCCTTGCGGTAGTTCCAATCGACACTGCCATCGTCACTGCCACACTCCTTTAATTTCTCACCCCTAGCGTGCAAGATCTCATGCATTTACTCCATCGTTCTCGACATCTCATACCACTTTGCTACCCTTTCTAGACTTCCTTGCCTTCCTCGGCAAGGACAGGGCCATGTGGCACTGTAGGGTGACATGTGTAGTGCACGGCGTGGTGACATCGGCAGCACGTCAGGTCCTAACGTGGCAACATGGGTGCAGAACCACATTGATGATGCAACATAGGCATGCAGACGCGGGGTGGTAGGGCGCACACGAAGTTGTACTGCTTGTCTAAACAGGTGAGGCGGGCATGTGTGCAGCGTGGCGGGGGCGAGGCTGGATGGACCAGAATGGTAAAATAATGCAATAGATGGACAAGAATGGTAAATAATGCAACTTTAGGTAGCTTAGTGTGTAATTAGGAAGTACCAAGTCCGGGATGAGAACTTTAGACAAATTTAGGGATCTAAACGTGCAATTTATAAATATCAGGACTAGAATGAGAACTCTATATAGGTTTAGGGAGCCGAACGTGCAAGTTACAAGTACTTAGATGTATATGAGAATTTAGGATAAATTTAAGGACCGCTAGTGAAATTTATTATTTTTTCTTTCCATCCCATGCTGTCTATTTCGTGACTTCTTTTCTTTTATAAGTACCTCTATTTTTTCTTAGTAATATAAAAGTAAACAATAAATACAGTAATATAGGTCCTTGAAACCTTGGTCCTTCCATAATAAATAAATATTTCCTACCAAGTTGTTGATGTAGTTTTGATTATGAATAAAATTTATTATTATAGGAACTAGATCAGCTGATGAACTGAAATTTTTGACAGTTTGTCATCCAATCTAACCAAAATAAATGTCTCCCCAGCCTAATGCTAGCGCCTAGCAGCATGGTCGAACTGAAGAAGGTTGCAGATTGTGGTTGTGTAGGCACATTGAAGAAGACGAATCACATTCGCAGAATGTAACCGAGTAACCATCCAAATGTGTCTATACTGCCCATGTCAGTATGTTTAGGCAAGTTTTTTTTTTCTTAAGGGGAAACACTAGGTGAAAAATATATTAATAATATAAGAAAAGCAAAAGGCGAACATGTTTCTCTCTCTTTTTTTTTTGAGCAACGCGAACATGTTTCTCTTAAGAAAATAATGCTGCAGGGGTAGACACCCCCGAGCAATTTTAGCTTAAGGTAGAGGACATCTCACTCAGCCCGAGAGAACCCCCGAACCCCATGCTCCATCCGCACACAAGGGTCCATTACCCGGTAAGAGGGCCAGTCCATTTTACCTGTGTTTTGAAAACACGGGACAAGCGAGTTTTTTTTTCTCTTAAGAAAATAAAAGAGGGGGCGAACTAAAGGATGGCCCAAAAGGCACAGGTCACTCTAGGAGAGAGGAAAGAGGTGAAAACGAACTGCACTGTAGCAGTTTAGTCCAAAATTTAAGACAACCGAATTACACTGAAGCAGTTTCAAGTCCAGTTGATGATTGTGCAGAACAGCAGATTATATTATACTGAAATAATAGTAGTTGCTAGAAATAGAAGAGGCTAAATTCGAGGTACTTATTCTAAAGAAAAAAATCGAGGTACTCAGTCAAAGCATGCATGCATATAGGGGAGCAAAAAGATGCTGCATGTTCGACTGCTTGCATGCATCTGGTCAAAGCCACCAGATTTCAGCTTCCGTTCGCTTCGCTGAAAAAATAAGTTAAAATACTGTTCCAATTAATTTGTTGCGAAAGAAAAACACTGTTTCGATTAAAAAAACAAACAAAAAAATACTGTTTCGACTGCTTGCACGTGAGTGGAGTCTGTGGTGCTTTGCTGGGATAACGAAACGGTAGTAATTAACCACGAATTTATCCTCTCACTAGTCATTATCATGAAGAAAAGAAACGGTCGCTGATCCCATTTTCTCTGATGATCAACAAATAATGGGCTGTTTGATACAGCTTATAAGCTGCTTATGGCCAAAATAAGCTGAAATCAACAGCCAAACGCTACACTTTTTTTTAGCTTATTCTAGTCACGCTTATTCCCACAACTCCTATTTATACTAAAAAGTAGAAGTTGGATCAGACCAGCTTATTTTGACCGTTACTTTTACTCAATTTATGCAGCTTATCTGGGAAGCGCTTTCCACATAAGCTATACCAAACAGGGTCAATGACTAGCTATAAATATATGATCTCATTTGTATCTCCTCTGTGTGACAATTTTTCATATATCGCAGATATCACAGACAATGAATACTAAAGCCCCCTTTGGCACGACTCATCTAAAACGGCTTCACCGGTGAAGCTAAAGCCGGTGAAGCCAGAAAAACTGGTTTTTTCCGGCTTCTAGTTCATTTTAACCTCGGCTTACAAAACGGCTTTACGCTATAATGCCTCGATTTGCGCAAAATAGACGAGGCCGAAGCCGACATAAACCATGCCAAAGAGGCCCTAAGAATGTTCTCTGCTGTCTTCTTTTCTTGCTCGTTCTGTACACAGTTAATGCTCTAGCCGGTTCGTGTTCCTTTGCATCTATCTTTTCTTTTATGTTCTAGGTTTTTAGTTCAGTTGTAATCTAACAAAGATCAATTCGTAATTTTTTTTGTTTCTTTATCTTTTTATCTTCTTTTGTGTTCAGTCTTCAGACTTTTCATTTAAGATGTAAGAAAAAAAAACTCTTCTAATCATTTTCTCGAGACAAGCTCTTTTTTTTTTGGCATTTCCACGTGATCAGTATCACACGCCAAGATATGGTAGCTGATGACATACATATGGATATAAATACATGTGTTTAACTTATTCTTTTTGCAGAGTGTGGCTATACGTATCCTATTAGAGCCCTTTTACAATGGTTGAAAATGCTTCCTAACGTTTGCTGACGCTTCCTCGTGCCTACCCAAAATAGCTATTTTTATTGATTTTATTCGTTCAAGGGCATTATAGTCATTTCGCAAAGCCAACTCACCACCCCCCGCCGGCCCACCTCCTAGCCCGCCCACGCACCCACGAGAAGGGAAACGTCCCCGGCTGCCCGACATCCGCCTCCCCACAGCACCGGCGCCCATCCCTCGCGCTAGCCCTAGCCGTCGCCGGCCTGCATTCGCCCTCGCGCGGCACCGTCGTCGCCGGCCTACCCTCGCCTGTGCCTAGCACCGTCGCTCTTCCCTCCTCCCCGGCTCCGCCGCCTGACGCGAGCGGCACCTCCGCCGACCTCCGCCGCCGCAGCCGGCGGTGTCCTCCGCATCAGGACCCCCGCCTCCACCGACACTGCCCTATCGCCTCCTCCCATCCAGGTATAATCTATGCACTTCCCCATAGGCCATAGCACGTCCATACACGCTGCTTGCGTTGTTGCCCATCTCTAACAAGATTGAAATTTAGTCAGCTGCTGCCTCAACTATGGTAATGTCACTGTCTTCTAGAGGCAATTTGTTCTAGGGTTATGGATCTAGAGGATTCTTGTTCTAATTGGAATTAGAAGCTCGTGTATCTGAAAATGTTTGATTTATGTTTAGTTAATTTCCTAGATCTTTAATCTGTATCCTTTTAATTGCCCAATGCTTCTTTATTTTAGGCAAATAGTTAATTGTAGTGAACATCAGACTGAGGTATACTACAATTATTATGAATTCTTTTTACTACTTAGTTATTATCCAATTTGTTTTAGGTTGTCATGCCTGTTGGTTAAATTGATTGCAGCTAGCAGATGGAGTACCTAGTTTTCTGAAAAATTAATCGCTTGCAGTGGGGAGGATTACTAAAGTTGCTATCTTTAGTTAGGATGTTTGGGAAAAATATACATATGAGTGCCTCTAAATTATATAGTGTTAAAAAGCTAAAAATTGGTTCTTAGTTCATAGTTCAGTGACTGTTTAAACTGCAACAACAAAAATTTAGAATTTATCCTGGTTAAGAACTTGCTTGATGTTCAGAGTTAAACGTGAATGTACACTGGATTTTGGTTGCCAATGTTATTTTTCATATAGTCGTATGGATTTGTTGCTTTAAATGTTGAAAGTGAAAAAACAGTGCTGCTTGATAGGTTGCATAATACATGTTCTTATGGAATGTTAATTATTTTTCTTT